GGGGGGGGGGGGGGGGGTTTTTTTTTGGAGGGCCAACCCCTTTCTCTTAGATTATTTTTATGCCCCTCTCCTCCCTTCACGCCCAAAAATACACCCCTCAATTTTTCCCCCCCCCCCCTCCCCCTCAAGTGTTTTCCTGTTCACACACTCCCCTTTGTGCCTGCAAATTACTCAAGCGCGGGGGGACAAAGGCCCGGCCAGGACCCCCCCCCCCCCCCCCTCTCCCTCTACTGAAGTCAAACCATTGGTACAACGGTGCACTTCAGCCTGCCCGCCATCGGCGGCAGACTTCTCTGTCCTCCTCTGCTCACTGATAAGACAGCCGGGGACACCTCGTCTAATCTGTGCTGGACAACGCCATCAAAGACTATGGTTATGGCAGATTATGGCTATCTGCTTCCCGCCTCGTTCAGAACAATCACACCGTCATGAAATGATTAGTCCAATAATAAAGTCGCTTCCTGCTACTCAAATGTGATGAATGTGCTTTCTGTGTGTGTGTGTCATTATGATCATGTGTTTGGCTCTTGAACTGCTGGCCAAACAAAACAAGCAAGCAACTTTTTTTCAATACATTCCTTTCTCTTACAATTTAAAGACATGATTTTTCTTGTTTATCCCTAATGGAGGTCATTATTACTGGCAGCCCAGCCCGTGAACTTGGGGTGGTGGAGGGATTCAGCCCTGCGGGATTTACTCACCGATGAAGCCGATGGCCTCCGGAAAGAACTGCGAGAGGTTCTGGCTCCAGTGGTCCGAGATGGGGATCTGCTTGTACTTAAACTCCCCCGCGTTCTCGAAGAGGTTGGGCAGGTTGGGGGTCACGTTGAGGATGTACTTGATGCCGTACTCCTCCAGCACGTCCAGGTTGGTGGAGTCTTTGGCGCAGCCCAGGTACAGGTGCGGCAGGATCTCCACCGGGAAGCAGGGCTGCGGGTTGGACAGCGGGCTGCCGTCCGAGTCCGTGGCGCTGCTCGGCTCCCGGTCGATGTCCGACTCGATGTCAGAGGAGTCAGAGCTGATCCGCAGTCCGCCGAGGCCCAGCACCTGCGCGGTGGGGGAGCTGGTGTTGGAGGTGCCGTCCAGGTTGGTTTCGCACAGACCCGGATACTCGGCCTGGAATTTACTGAAGCCACCTTGAGGGAAAAGGGAAGCAGACGGGATAAGATATCAATTCATCTGTGCGGGAGCTCCTGTTCTGCGCCTGTTATATTTCAATATGTTCTGTTTACATACACATGCGCGATATTCTTGAGTCCCAATTTTCTAAGTAGCGCGCGCGCGCCCGTCTCTGCGCAAAGATCCCCGGGGTGCGAATGAACAGAAAACGTGAATGAACCGTACTCACCCTCCAGATAATAGGCCTTGTAGCCCTCGTCCTTCATCCTCCTCAGCAGCAGACCCAGCACCGAGCCGCCGTCCACGTTCTCGTTCCACTCCCGGCTGTACTCGTCGTACAGCACGATGGTGTCCGTCTTGCAGCGGCGCACGAACTTCTCCCGGTCCTCGCCGTCGGAGAGCAGCGAGCGCACGGGCAGGTTGCCCTTCTTGAGGCGGCGCAGCATGAGGCTCGGGATGGCCACGTTGATGGCCGTGTCGACGTGCGACGACTCGTAGAGCTCCTGCGCCCGGCAGTCCATCACCAGCAGCCCGTCCCTGCGCGTCTCCAGCTGCTCCCGCAGCCAGCACACGGTCTTGCTTATCGCCATTACGGAGTCGAGCTGGATGACGGGTCTGAGCTTGTCGAGCATTTATAAGCAGGAGTTGTGGGGGACAGGATCTGGGAGAAGCGAGGTTCTTGGAGAGGTTTCTGGCTGCAGCGAGAAGGCAGCAACGATTTTTTTTTTAAATGTTTTTTTTCCGCAGAAAAATATCGGAAGTGCGGAATAAAAGCTAAATCCTACAGTGCGCTCCGTGCGCTTGGGGACGGACGCGGGTTTCCTTCACAGATCGATGGCTCCGCTCGCGATCATTCATGCGTCTGTGCGTGTGATTTCTCAATGAGTGGCGCCGGGGCTCTTATATGACTCCACGGCTCTGCGCGCGAATGCTCTTCTTCCTGTTTTGGAAAGAAATCCGCAGGTTGCGCCGGAGACTGTGCACCGTGCGGGTTAAGCGCGTCTTATTCGTGCGTGCGGGGTGCCGCGTGTTTCTCTCGGTCCGCGATGTGAATCGACGCTCTGCGGGCTCTGACTCTGCCTCTCTGGCTGCTCTGTCTCCCTCTCTGTCTCTGGCTCTGCGGCGCTGGCTGTATGGCTACAAACCAGGGAAGGCGTGTCCATCGGGTTACATTGTGTCCGCCCCGGCCAATCAGAGGAGGCCGCAGTGGCGGTCGCCTTGGCAACGAGGGCCGGATGGAGCGGCCCCGTGCTGATGAATTGTTAATGAGTTTGTCATTCACAAAACGGAGAGGAATTTCCGCTCCGGATCAAGTGAGTGCAAACAAACAGA